CCACACGAGTTGCTGATATTGCAACCAATGGTGCTTTCTATTGCTTTCTGTCATCGGCAAAGAGCAATAAGATTGGTAACACTCAGTTGTGCACTCCATCCGATGTGCAATCCAACTTATGTCGAAGGATGTTGATTTCAACGAGAATCCCGAAAACTCGACAAACCCTGTAACCTAAATCCTAAATCTTGCATGCTCGCGAATATTTTCGTTCGATGTGAACCCGGGCCGTCTCCGGCGCCTGCATAATTGGTGATGCTTTTCCATGGGGTTCTTGACCATAAAGATACAATGATGAACGCTCAACCCTAAACCCTAAACCAATCATACATCCCAAGACCCTACTAAAATTACTCAGGCTCCTATAGCACGCCCTATACCCGGCATGGCATACTCTGCGCCCTAGAGCTAGAATCAAAGTATTCGCGAGCTATGCCCTAAACCGGCCCTAAACCCTAAACCCTAAACCCTAAATCATGCGAAAGCTTAACCCATGTCCCGTGGTGTTTGCAAGGCGGTGATGAGGCGGAGGTCGGTGAAAACAGGGAGAGCCACTAGACTCTCCTTCAAGCTTCGGGTCAGCTATCTCCGGGCTGGTGGGTTTAGGGTTTAGGGTTTGGGGTTTACGGGGATCTTCGTTAGGAGTTGCGGGCAGCCAGGGACCCAATTTTTGATGCTGCTGATAATGCTGACGATGACACTCTACTGTCAAGAGCGATGCCGACGGCCCAACACCAACGTGATCACGACCATGATGACAACGATCATTATTTTGGAGCCGGATGATGACGCTGATGATAGTGACTATAACGATGATGGTGTTGCTGACGACGATGATGACGATGGTGGCGAGATCGTGATCGTGCGAATGTTGAGGAACCAAAACAAGTTAGTGCTCATGAGAGAGGTGGTCTTGAAAGTGGTGATGGCAACTGTTATGATGATGATTGTGATGATGATGCTGGTGACAGTGCTGGGAATGATGGTTGTGATGGTTAAATTATGATGCTCCGGTGCATTTTCTACCGCTTGTTCCATGGTCTTATTGCACCTTTCGTGGTTCCCATGAGTGGCCCTAAGCCCAAACCCCGAAGCCATCGTTTTGTTTGCTGTTTCCCTTTTTTGTTATGAGTACGACCAATGCCGTGGCTCTGTCCTGACCTGGTACAGCTCTTTGAAGCTTCCAGTGTCCCGAGTCCTTTAGGAAATTGGGCTCTTGAGCCACGCGGTAGGGTTTACGGTTACTGCGGTTTAGGGCTTGAGGGTTTAGGGTTTAGGGTTTACGGTTACTGCGGTTTAGGGCTTGGGTTTACAGTTTAGTCTTAGGTCTTAAGGTTTGGGATTTAGGGCTTGGGGGAAGAGCTTACCCTTGCCCGTCCAGTCCAAGGAAGTGAGTTAGGGGAATTATTTGTTACTGTGTTTGTATACGGGACAGCTATGATGCTCGCTGGCACTTTTCTTTCTTTTCAAGTCCATTGCTGGTAGTACTTAGAACCTCAAATGCGGAAGGTTAGTATCCCAAAAACTTCCTTAACCAGGTTTTGCCCTGTTTGCCCTCTTGATTTCGAAATCTCAGGAACGAAACCGAAAAGTAGGAACAAGGGAAGTTTTGATCGTAAAGGGGCTGCTAAGAACCTCGTTGCTCAACGTCTGAGGATGTCATTGAGACTCCGCTGCGAGAAGACCAGGCACACCGCCCTGCCTTCTAATACGGTTTAGAGCTTATGGTTTATGGTTTAGGGGTTTACGGAGTTTTGGGTCTGAGGTGTAGGGTTTAGGGTTTAAGGTTTAGGGTTTAGGGTTCAGGGAGTTTAGGGCTTAAGGCTTAAGGTTCAGGGTTTAGGGTCCTATCATATTTAGGATTCCTGAACAAGCCAGCACCCCTTCATCTTCGTGAAGGGTAGCGGGCTCTCTGGGTGGAGGGAGGGTCTAAACCCTAAACCCTAAACCCTAAACCCTGAACCCTAAACCCTAAACCCTAAACCCTAAACCCTGAACCCTAAACCTAAAACCCTAAACCCTAAACCCTAAACCCTCGCTGACAGTCGGCGGGTTTAGGGCTCGGGCTCGCGAGTCTCGTGCCTTTTTGGGGTTTAGTCGTTTTGGGTCTGCGCGGGACGGTTTAGGGTTTAGGGTTTTTAGGATTTACTGTAGGGTTTTAGGGTTTAGGCTCTGAGGTTCAGGTTTGCCAGACCACGTCAAGGATCCACGGCATACCTTGAGACCGGCCCCATCTTCAAGCAGTGGTAGGCTGCTTCTTCTTGGGCTTCTGTCTTGAGATCCATGAAGGGGTTAACCCTAAACCCTAAACTTTAAACCCTAAACCGGTTCGGGTATCAGGTGGCACTGTAATGGGGAAGCAACAAGCAGCAGACGCTCGGGCTCAGTGCTTCTACTTTGGGTTCAGGCGTTCCTTGCGGCTTGACTGCATGAGCTTCAGCCCCAGAACCATGAAGTCTTACGTCCTGAACCCTAAACCCCTAAACC